ATATATATATATATATATATATATATATATATATATATATATATATATATATATATATATATATATATATATATATATATATATATATATATATATATATATATATATATATATATATATATATATATATATATATATATATATATATATATATATATATATATATATATATATATATATATAAAATATAAAAGAGAACCGATCACAGTTGTGTTCCATGCACGGTTGCTTCAAGCAAGGAAACAGGAGCGCGCACTGGCTTTAAAACAGTCGTGCACATCACTTCAGCTGTTAGCACGAGTAATCATCACTTGCGCGAAAGTAATTATTTTTGTTAGTCGTGCTGTTTCTCAATTCCAAGATCACATTTGCACACATATTGGGTGACTAATACTCAAACCACAATTTAAAAAATATTTTCAACCAGCCAAAGTGGCTAGTGGGAGTGACTGTCTAAACCGCCAAAGCTGAAATCTATCCGCATTTGGTGGGTTGGTGGGTGTTAATGTTAAGCCCTGTGTATATATACACACACACCCAAAGCCTAAAGCGCAATGCTTCATGGGTTTTTTAATTTCATTGCAATCGTGTCACACCAACATCTCTGACCCAGTTCATGCCCAGTTATGAGTTATTAACTTGGTTGTGACGTGACCCACATATGGTCCATGTTTGGCCCTTGTCTGGAAGCCAAACTTGGTCCAGTAATGAGCCGTAATTTACTGCGGCATGTGGGCCAAGCAAAGCCTGATTGTGGGGGTCAAATAAATCGTGCTATGTGGGAGATCCTGTACTCCAAGTTGTTGGTACATCCCAGGTAGCAAAGAATTCTGGCCGAGATTTGCCATAAAGCTGGCACAGCAGGCCTTCGTTCGACACTGGCATACAGCATGTGGGCCAAACATGGTCCAGGTTTTGCAGAGGTGGCAACACACAAAACCAGATATCAAATGTAGTATTTGGACCTCATATTAAACATGTATATGTGGGCCTCGTAATTTTGGCCTATCTTGACTAACATTTAAAATACATTTAAATCTTTTTTTTATTATTATTATTTTTTTTTATTAGAATATGCAAAAATCATACAAATACAAGAAAACGTCAACAAATAACAAATACAAAGCAACGAAACAAAAACAAAACAAAAACAACAACAATATAGTCATGTACTGGTATGTGCTTGAGTGTGTGAGTGTGTGTATGCATGTAAAGGTAACTTGGTGGACAGGTCAGAGTACATACATAAGGAACAATAACAGTGAATAAATGAAGCAAGTGTCACAGATATAGACAAAACATATAGAAAGAAACCAGTCAGAGGTAGGGAGTAACAACAGTGCTTATTAATGTATGATAGTAAAAATGAGAGTAAAAAGAAAGAAGGGACAACAGTAATAAATGACAACAATAATAATAAATCACAAGTGCTACACCAACTACTACTACAAAAAGTTACTTATATTACAACTACTACTGCTTCTACTACAGCCACAACCACGACTATTACTACTACAATGTCTACTAATACTGATACTACTACCACTGCTGATACTACTATAGCGTTTGCTACAACTAATACAACAACGTCTACTGCTACTACTACTACTACTGCTACTACCACCACCACAACTATTTCTACTACATATACATCAACAACATCTACTACTGATATTACTACACCAACAACGACTACTACTACTACTACTGTAACTACCACACCATTACTACTTCTGCTACTACTTACATGAACTACTACTTCAATAATCTCCGTAACAATTACTCAATAACAATCGATACTATTACACTGTCTACTACTTCAACTACAACTACTACTACTACTACTACTACAACTAATACCGCTACAACTACAACAACTGCAACCTTAATAATGATAATGGTATAAATACTTGTAATAATGATAATGGAAAGATAACAGGACAAGTCAGAACAGTAATAATAATAATAATGATTACAAAAAATAAAAGTAATACCATTTATGACAAAGGTGTCGAGGAGAGGGGAGGATGGGAAATCAGGGAGAGGACAAGTAATAATAATAATAAATAATAATAATAATAATAATGACAAATAATAATAGTAGTAAGTAGTAAGTAGAATGGGAGAGAGAGGAAAAGAGAAAATAAACTAATGATAATAAACAAAAATGAATAAAATACTAATAATAAAAATAAACAAATAAATAAATAAATAAAAACAGAAAAGGAAGGGGAGGAGTAGAAGAAAAAGAAAAGAAACAATAAGAGAGAAGAAAAATAAAGTTCAGCAAACAAAGCAATGAGAATAAGCAATAATAATAATAATAATAATAATAATAAAAACTAAATAAATAAAAAAGAAAACACTATATCAATGCTAATTATGAATTATACAAACCCACATGGAAGAATAATATTAAAGATATGTATGATAGATTATTACTGTAACTTGATAACTATAATATACTCATGCTGGTAATAATAATAATACTAATAATAATGATAATAATAAAAATAATAACAGCTGTAACAATAAATTTAAATCTTTTTTGAGTAAAGAAAAAATTCTACCAATCAGGTCACTCTGAGAAAAAGCACGACCATAAAACTAAATGCTTCATGGGTTTATCAAGTTCATTGCAGTCGTAATACACCAACATATCTGGCCCAGTTCAGACCCAGTTATGGGTTATCAACTTGGCTGAGACTTGGCCCAGATATGGTCCACGTTTGGCTCTTGTATGGAAGCCAGACTTATACTGTAATTCACTGCAGCATGTGGGCCAAGCAAAAGCTGATAGTGTGGGCCAGATCTGGGCCAGAGAAATTTTGCTATGTGGGATGTATAGTTACACTTTTTAGAGGAGGGTGTCAGGGTATGCCGAAGGTTATGCGACTGTACAAAGGGAATGCTAAACCTACCCCATGCAATGGGGTATATGCCGAAGCATGCTAATAGGACTTTTAAATTGCGAGTAACCTGGGTTAAGCGCTTCCGGCGAATTGAATGCCAATGCAAAATCCGCTGCGTTTAAGGTCTGTTTTCTTTAAAAATGAGCGATCTCCACTAGCTGAGTGATATCCGATTTAAAGTGGGTCTCAGATTGTACAAGAAGCACTGCACTACATTAAATTTCCCCCGCCATATCTTTATAATATGAGCATTTATTTTACCCCAGTATATTCAATGGAGCTTCTGCGTTAGCCTGCCGATTCTGACGGGCGAGTGTGAGTAAACAGCTTTTTGTCTCGTTTTACGCTTGAGCAACCAAATAAATGCTAAAGTTTATTTAACTGAATGTATTTTAATGACATTACAACATCGATGCTGTATAAGGAACCGTATAAAATGGATAAAAGTTCACAATAACAGGTCACCGGAAGTGTATCAGCATGGGAACAGCACTAGCTCGGCATATACCCTATTGATGTAGAAGTATAAATTAAACTAGAACCTAAAGTTTATTGATAAACTTTGATGTTGGCTTGCGAAAGCCAACGTGACTGCACTAGGACTGGGAATGGCAGTTGGCAGAAAGCACGGCGGCAGTTGCTAAAACGTTTATGGCATGGTTAGGTGGTTGCTAAGCAGTTGCTAAATGGCAATGCTCATGTACATGTTTGATCAAATGCTAATACTTAGTAGGCATTTCTAGCATATGTTATTGCATTTAGATAATCATTCATAGAATGTAACGAATCGTTATTAGCACTTGGCTTCCTTTATCATTGTTACCATGCATAGTAAACAGGAAGTCCCATTTGCTAGCACGAGTCAAACAAGCCAATGCCCAGGACCCTACGATGTTCTGATGTAGAGATATTGCTATTTTTAAATGGTTGCTAGGTTATACTGTTTTATTGCTATGGGGTTATTTGACAGGTTAGTGATGATACATCAAAGCTTCTTGGCAATATGAGTGATCTTAATCAACCCCGATGTTTCTGACAGTCTTTATGAGTGTCAAAAACTGGACTTGAACATTATGTATTCCTGGTGTTGGGTTGCGGCTGGAAGGGCATTCGTTGTGTAAAAACAAATGCTGGATAAGTTGGTGGTTCATTCCGTTGTGGCGACCCCTGATTAATAAAGAGACTAAGGGAATGAACATTATGTAAAAATGGCTTGCCGTATTTTTTTGAAAATACAACGCTTAATAAGTGTAAAAGTGATACATGCAAAAATGGCTTGCCATATCAGTAAAAAAATATTGAGTTTAAGTCAAAAATGGCTTGCCATATTTTGAGAAAAATAATGCTAAAAAAGTATTTATTGAAAAACTATAAGTCTGATAAACCTTAAAGATATAGCAACAAAATCTAACGCATCTAAATACAGCTTTTGGAAAATTTGGGGCTTGTATGATTTTTTTATATGCCCGGGTTATAAAAATTTTATATTTAACATTTTTTTATTTAAAAAACGATAAGTCTTATAGGCATGAAGAGATATAGCAACAATCTTGAATGCAGAAGGCACATTTTGACCACATTTGGGCCTTGTGGCATGAACGGCCTAGAAGGAGATACGTTTGTTTTCAAGGACAGAGTAGTGTAACAGTATGTTGGCTTTCTCAAGCCAACATAATTAATCTAAACCAAGTGATGCGATGCTTCACGTCTGGTGTGACCCCCATATAAGTTATGAGCATACTCACCAATGATGGTGACAATGAAAGTCTTCTTGAACACTTTTTGCCCAATCAACTGTGCTTTATACACTCCAGAGTCTGTGGTCCTGGTGCTGTTGATGGTCAGAGACCCGGTCTGGTCCAGGATGAGTCTGTCTTTGAATCTGTTGTCCATTTCAGAGATGACTTGGGATGATATGTTGAGTTTGGCGATACACTGATCTCCGCACATCCACATGATCAGATCGTCCTCTTGTATTTTAGTCACGCCAGTCTGTAGCGTGACAGAATCACCCTCCATCACAGACAGAGACTCGGTCTCATCGATCTCAACACCAAACACTACTGAAACACATGGGAAAACTGTCTCAATTACCAATGTACAGTAAGCACTTGAATGAACACTACATTTTTGGAAAATAAGCTTATTTTACAACTCCCCTAAAGTTAATCAGTGGAATTTTACCATTTTAGCCGATCTACAGGTCTGGCAGGAGTACTTTTAGCTTAGCTTAGCGTAGCATAAATCACTGAATCAGAGTTGATTGTGTTAGAACTTCTAATTTATTTGGGTAAGTGATAACAAATGGCAGTAAACCGGCAAACTACTTGTGATACAAACCTGTGTGTTTATGACAATATATTAAAAGTAAAATAATATGATAAGAAAATAACAGTTTGCAACATCATGCTGAGAAACAACTCTCAGCTAAAACCAGCTTGACCAGCATTGATGACACATTGATGTCAAAACAATGTAAAAAACAAAACAAAATCCTAACTAATTTGATGTCAATCGACCACCTTGATGTCAAACTGACATCAAACTCTAATATTGTCCTAAAAAATACATCAAAAATAGATTTTTAAATTTTTTCTGATGTTGTTTTGACATAAAGGTAGCTTACGTACATTGCAGCAATGCAAAACTTTCCAAAAAGTCAAGTTCAAAGCTATTAGAATTACTATATTTTATCCATAGTCTACAGAAGGAAAAATAGTAATTAATAGTGTTATTTTGGGATTTCCGATTTTGCCTACCCAAATTTAAAAGCTTCCCAAATCCACATGCAGAAGTGTAAATGCAAAAATTTGGCATCATCTTAAAGAAAACCCTTTCTTAGAACACTATTGAAAGTTTTTAAAATAACTGTATATGTTGTCTGTGTTATAAAAAAACACCTAAAAAAAGAGGCGCTTTTTGCATTTTTTTTTTATGAACTCAAATTTGAAAGTGTACCTTTTAGGTTCTGTGTGGTCTAGCGTGCTGTAATTAATTTTAATGGTTCCTGCACATGTCTGTAATCATAGGAAACAGAAACATGTCTCTACCATAATCTATGCAAAAGTTATTGCATTCCAACTGATGAGAGGCGCTGTACAAGCCACAGGGATCGATCATTGTTTTCATATTTCACTATTCTTTTGTTTGATCAAACATATTTCACTGTGTTTGGACCACATAAGACATATAAAAGGATTACTTATGCACATCACCTCAAAAACAGAGCAGAATGACCCTGAAGGGCACAGCATAAGGTAAGAGATGACAGCTGTCTGTGCTATCTGGGGCTGCTTAGTGATCATAAATGTATTGTTTTCACTTTTGCGCCATGGAAACACCGAGATTCATTCAGAAACTGTTTGATATGTGAATATAATTCAGTAAAAAGAAAGCTAGAACCGTATGAGCACTGGCAAGAGCTTTCATTTGAGCTATAACTTGTACATGCGTCATATGAAAAATATGAAAATTAACCAATGTTCAATACCCAGCTCAGGTATCCAAAATACTGTGTATTTAAGTGTAAATAACTTTTGTACAGTAGAATAAAAACCAAAGTGATGCATATATATGCAAAAAATATAGATTCTACACTTTCAAACAGAACCACTTAAGGGGGTCTGGTGCAATGCTAGCACTTTAAATCTTAAAGCGAAAGACGATGATGTACCGCTGCCTGGTCCGCAGAGTTTAACTGGTTACAAAAATCAACATGCAAATAAAAAGCCATCAGCGTTTAAATTTAGTTTTTCAATTGTTTGCAACCCCTGAGGTGATTACGCTATATTAAAGACACAGCAATAGGGTCAGATGCAGCAGATAGATTTTTTTGGCATCAGATTAAACTTTCAGACACATTTACGGCACTCGCGTATATTTATTTATTTATTTTTTTGGTTTATTGGTTTTAATGAACATACAAACATAAACAAAAAAGGGCAAAAGCAAGTGTATCAGTAGACAAGTATAGCAGCAAAAGGCAAAGAGAAAAAAATCAATAATTAAATAATTAAATAAATAAATAATAAAAAAGAATAAACATACAAACAAAATACAAAACTCATAGTACACAAAGTTATGCTGTGATTAAGGTCACACATATTATGAAAATACATCAGATGTGTTCATAGAGTCAGAGGATCATTAGAGGCATCCATAATTTTTGAAAGGCATCCCCTTGGTTTTTTAAGTAGTATGTATATTGTTCCATAATCATTGCTTCATTCAAGAGTTGTATGAACAGTTTAAATGTTGGAGGTCTTTGTTGGTTCCAGTTGAGCAAAATGCATTTTTTCGCTAGATAGGAGATGATGGGCACTCGCGTATATTAAAAATAAAGGCCATGACTGAATATGGAGGAAGGTCTCGCAGTGACGCTCTCCAAAATTAAACAGAGAACAGACTTGGGCCTATTGGTGTTTTCACTCTTTAATGAAAAGTTTGTATATTTATAACAACTTTTTTGGGAACGCCTGCTCAAAATGAGTGCTCAGCCAAACAATAAAAGGTGCGAAAATATGTTCAAAAGGCAGCAAAAGCTCCAAATATACCAATTTATTAAATTAAAAAGGCTAACACAAAGTGTTTAATGGGCACACCGACTCTTCATCAGACCATCAGACTTTATCAGTCTGATGAAGAGCCGGTGTGCTCAAAACGTTACACACTTTGTGTTAGCATTTCTAACTTCATAACTTGCTATTTTTGGAGCTTTGGTGAACCTATTTGAATATACAAAATCCAGTGTAAATTGGTCATTTGGAATTGAAGCTATTATATTACAATACTTTTTGTGTCATGATTTTGGTGGTCAAACAAATGGATTATTTTGGATGTCAAATGGACGTCAAGGTGTTGACATCAAATCAATTAGCATTTTTATGCATTTTTTTTTTACGTCAATATCAATTAGATGTCTTTTTGAGACGAGAAAATGATGTTTCTTTTCATGCATGGTGTGCATTATTCATTCATTTATTTTCCCTCAGCTTAGAGCCTTTATTTATCAGGGGTCGCCACAGAGGAATGAACCGTAAACTTATCCAGCAAGTTTTTACGCAGCGGATGCCCTTACCAGTATGGGGAAACATCTATACACTCTCACATTCACACACATACACTATGGTCAAATTACTTTACTCAATTCACCTGTACCGCATGTCTTTGGACTTGTGGAGGAAACCGGAGCACCCGGATGAAACCCATGCCAACACGGAAAGCACATGCAAACGCCACATAGAAATGCCAACTGACCCAGCTGGGACTCAAACCAGCAACTTTCTTGCTGTGAGGTGACAGTGCTAACCCTGTCGCATTACCAATTATACATTTATTGATATTGCAATTACACACAAACACACACACACACATCACATTACACTAGACCAGGGCCCGGTTTTTCAAAAGTAATCCACTAGGATTTTGAATAAGGGATTGGATCAAATCTTGAAAATGGGTTTTTCAAAAGAAAAAGCGGATTACATAATCGGATTAGATCACGTAATCCAATCTTTGTTTTGATCCGGATCAAACCTTTAGTTTGGGTTTTTCAGACCTTTTTTGTAGGATCTGGATCACTTTGATCCAAAAAACCTGGATTAAACTGATCCCATCAGAAGGCTGGATTTAGTGTGGATTTTATGCCCAAAATGTAATGAAAACTTTTAAATTTATTAAATAATACTATTTTTGGATCATGCAGTATCTTACGAGATATTCTATTTATTCATAAGGTTTTAATTTTATTTGTTCATCTGTCAGGATATAGTGATTATTGGCTTTAACGTATTTAGCCTTTCAGTATAGGCCTACAGCAAAGTAGAAAGAGTTTGGCCTCATAAAATAATCCCCCAAACAGCTGTCAAAATTTACAAATAACAATCAATTTTATTTTGTCTCTGATATATATATTCATCACAATGGAAAATATTTTTCTTATTAAAATATTTATTAGTGATGATAGCAATGATTACAGAATAAACAAAAAATGCAAAAAATGGCAATGCATGACTGATTTTTGAAATCTCTTTCAACAATTGCAAAAAGAGACTGAAAGGGCAGAAGCACAGCTTCATCTGGCAGAGGAACAACTGACTCTGACCAAACTGCAGCAAACCAAGCCCAAGGACTTGAGATCCCCCTCCTAAAGCATACGCTCAGACAAGCTGCTCTCTCCAAATCAGATGAGGAAGTCTGAGATTATTGTGGAGTTTTTGACATTAAGTGTTTTTTTTTATTTACATCTATATTTGAAACTTATTATAAATATCCTCAATGTACAGTGTTTGTGTTGTAGGTCTCAGATGAGCGGACTGCTGGAAGAGGATGGGGTGGGCTTTTTCTTGTTTTTATTATTTATTATTATTATTAATTTAATATTTACAAAATGTTCTTAGTTTTCATTAAAAAAATGTTTTATTACAGTTATATTGACCCCACGCTGGCTATTCTTCTTGTCGCTCTTTACATATCCATAGTTCTACGTTGTGATGTCCTATGCTGTTTGACTACTGGTAATCCAGATTTAGTGATCCTGAAAAGTTCCTATCCGGATCAGATTGATCCAATTCGATGTTGCTTTGAAAAACTGGCTCAAAAAGTAAGCTGGATTACCAGATCACGGATCGCAAAAACAGAATTACTAAATCTGGATCAATTTGATCCGGATTAAACCTTTTGAAAAAACGGGCCCAGGGGTCACCAAACCGGGAGGGCCGGTGTCCTGCAGATTTTAGCTCCAACCCTAATCAAACACACCTGAACAAGCTAATCAAGGTCTTACTAGGTATACTTGAAACACCCAGACAGGTGTGTTAAGCTAAACCCTACAGAGACAGCGGCCCTCCAGGACCGAGATTGGTGACCCCTGCACTAGACGCATTACCTTTAGGTACCAGTCAATTTGGAGATAAAAGAAGTCACAATTCTAAGAAAAAAAGCAGTGATAGTTTTGAGATAACCCACAAATACAAACTCATATCTCGCAAATGCAAGTTCTGAATCATGTGGGAAAAGTTGGAATTACTTAAATAAATGACTCAATAGAGAAGCAGCTCATCTAACTTACCAAACACTGGTGAAAAGGGTAATTGTTTGCAAGTACACGCAAGTCTACATATTTATTAACATTGCCTGCTGTAAAATAACGTCACCATTTTGATTATTGTTGATTTAGTCAAACTGCAAGAATGAAAATACAACGCATATTAACTTACCAGCGAGACGCCAGAAGCACAAACAAAGCAAAACAATCCTGCACACCATTTTTAGCTTTGGTAACTCTGTACTGCACAATGCACTGACTGGAAATGCGAGCAGGTGTGAACCCACCCCAACACTCTTCTACCATCCCTCCTCATGCACATACGCACACTGTGATTGCATTAGTCCTCCTCCTCGCATAGATTTTGCAAAATTAAATAAAATTTTTATTAGTTATGACAGTCAATCATATGAATTTCCCAACATCTTCTTGTAGCTAGTGTGCAAATGTTGCTATATTTTGTAGTGTTATATTTTGCTTGTGTATTAAATAAGGTCAATGGTAAATGGTGCAGAGACTTAAAGGTATAGTTCACCCAAAAAGGACAATTGAATTACCCTTAAGTGTTTATAAACCTTTATGAGTTTCTATATTATATGAAATCTATATTATATATTATTATATCTATGAAAGCATTGACTTCCATAGTAGGAAAAACAAATACTTTGTATATTTATGGTCATTTTTAGATTTCTTTTGTGTTAAAAGTTAAGAAAGTAAGTCAAACAGGTTTAAAACAAGTGAGTAAATATTGACAGGATTTCAGTTTGCGGTATCTCTTTTAGTTGAAATAGACTTGTTTTGTGGTTTCACTCCTTTGTTTTAAACATTATCTGTATTGAGTAACAGGAAAAGGTCTTGAGATGTTCATGTTATCAGGACCGGAAGAAGCCCTTCAACCACAAAAGCGACACAATAAACAAGCAAACTTGTGCAACCTTTCTGTCCACTCAGCAGAGCGGCACCACATGCCTTTGTAGACCACGTTAAATCAGACCAGAGCCGGTTTCGGTTTGACTCTGAGAAACTGAGCTGACCCAGTTTACTAAAACAGACATAGGTCAAGAGTATCTACTGTGTCAGATTTGGTTAAAACTGAAGTTAAACCATCTAAACCAGGGGTCACCAAACTTGTTCCTGGAGGGCCGGTGTCCTGCAGAGTTTAGCTCCAACCCTAAACAAACACACCTGAACAAGCTAATCAAGGTCTTACTAGGTATAACTGAAACACCCAGGCAGGTGTGTTGATGCAAGTTGGAGCTACCCCTGTAAGGACAACGGCCCTCCAGGATTGAAATTGGTGACCCCTGATCTAAACAGTGTTGCTATATATATATCAGTCCTGGAGGGCTGGTTTCCTGCATAGTTTAGCTCCAACTTTCTTCAACACACCTGCCTGGAAGTTTCTAGTATACCTTGAAAGAGCTTGATTAGCTGGTTCAGGTGTGTTCAATTGAGGTTGGAACCAAAATATGCAGGACACTGGCCCTCCAGGACCAAGTTTGGACACCCCTGCTTTGTACTGTCAACCATATCCTAAAACAAGTCTTATTTTTATAGGAACCTGTCATTAAAATCTACTTAAATGTCAATTAAAATCTGATTTACTCACCATGTACTTGTTTCTTTCTTCTGATGAAAACGAAGTAAGATATTTTGAAGAATGTTGAAAACTGGTAACCATTGACTTCCATTGCATTCGTTTTTCCTACTATGGAAGTCAATGGTTACAGGTTGTCAGCTTTCTTTGAGATATCCTCTTTCGTGTTCATCAGAACAAAATATATCAATGTGATATCTTATTACACCAACAAACAATTATGTCTGTGTTTGATTTGATCAAAAGATAGCATTATGTTATGATGTTTACAGCTTGCTCTTATTTTCTGTGTTATTCTACCATTCTGGGACAATTTGCTAGCAATGTTTTCTGGCAAAATAAAAACTTTAAAGTAAACATGTTAAAATAAGATGTATAATATAAAGCGCAATTATTATTTGTAACTTATTTTAGTGCTATGTGAGTCTACGGTACGTATTACTGTGTTATCTGAAAGTGCTACCACAGACAATAACAGTAACACAATAAGTTTAACAATTGTTAATTTAAAATTTGTTATTTAAAAATTATTATTAAAATATTAGTTAATCTGCATAGAATCTACAATAAGAGCTCTCTTAGGTAAAAGCTAAAATAATTTGCTTGTGACGTGTATTTTTTCCCAGATGGATATTACAATTCAAAAAGTGTGATCACTGTAAACACTAATACAGTGCACCACATGCTGCAGATATTGTTTTTTGCTGGAGAAATAAATAAGAAATCTCTCCAAAAAGAATGTAAAGCATTTATGTTATTTGATGTTATTTTCTACGTAATAAATAACTAATAATTCAATTATTATTTTTTCCCATATTTCTCTGCATTGTTTACAGCTTGATGACTTGTAGGACCTCATGAAAAAGTACTGAGAAAATTACGATACATAACCCTGCTGAAAAATACAGCTTAAACCAGCCTAGGCTGGTTTTAGTTGGTCGACCAGCCTGGTTTTAGAGGGGTTTGGACATTTCCAGGCTGGTTTCTAGCTATTTCCAGCCTGGTCCTAGCTAGTGAGGCTGGAAAATGACCAGCTAAAACCATCTAAAACCAGCCTGGCTTAAGCTAGACATTGCTGGTTTTGGCCGGTCATCTCCCAGCCTGACCAGCTAGGACCAGGTTGGAAACCAGCCAGGAAATGGCCAAAACCCCTTTAAAACCAGACTGGTCAACTAGCTAAAACTAGCCAACCAGCCTAGGCTGGTTTAAGCTGTTTTTTCAGTAGGGAATTACGAGTACAATAACTTATTGTATGTGAAGAAAGAGATATGATTCAATCCCTGCAGCTTCATAATGTTGGATTAATTGAGTAAATGTACTTTTTTTTGTGAACTATCCCTTTAACTTTTGTGTGCATTCCTATCCGTATCAGTACTTCCCCCAAGTGGCCATCAGGGGGATTTTTTAAAGAGAAACGAAAGTAAGAAAAAAGACGCACTACCATTTTTAAAAGGCTTTTTTTCAGATACTTGCTTGTCATTCACTTTCGTTGTTTATTACAAAACTTTTTTTTACCTTCAAACATGTGACAATCGCCTATACGCAATTTAATTAATTTAATTTATAAAATATCCTCACATAACTAGAGAGTAGCCTAAAATACATTAACAGCTAGGCTAAAATCATTAATTTCATTACCATTTGATTAATCCATATTTCACAGCGTCATATTCCCAAAACTTTCCCATTGATATAGGCGGAGATCACCTGATCAAACAGGAAGAGTGTTGACACTCGGCTATCTTATCTACTTTTACTCGAAACTTAATATATTGGACTCGAAATACTGGACTTGCTTATCATGAGAATATAAAGGAGAATATACATCACAAATGGTTACCGCTATAAAGTCTATTGATGTTTTGGTTAAATATAGTGTTATTAGTTAAGGTGTGTCGCGGGTTTGAATGGACCGCCAATGAAGACAAGAAAGTTTGCTAAGTTTACATCTAACTACATCAAAATGACGCTATTTTGTTTATGTATGTGCTTCTTGCTGAAAGGTAATTTGCTTTCACTTTGCATTTGGAATTGTATGTTTTCAAATTATTTATATTATTATATTACATACACATCGTGAGCTTGGTAGTTTACCCACAAATGATTCGCCTTCTGAGCTAGCTAAACGGCTAACGTTACAATATAAGAGGTTTTCATATATTTTGAAAGCGAAAGCAAGATAGCACTTTAATGTTTATTTATTTCGCATCTTATAAACTTCTCTTTGTTATCCAGGTGCGTTTGGTAATATCAAATTGGTGCATGACGGAGATTCTGTCACGCTACAATCTGCTCTTACAAATGTTCAGAAATATGAGCGTGTTCTATGGACGTTTGGACCTGACAGCACCCGAATAGCTCAAATCAACAACGCCATCAACAAGATATCAGTATATAATGAAGTACTGAACGGGAAATTCAGAGGCAAACTGAGTTTGGATGCTCAAACTGGATCTCTGACCATCGCAAACGCAACATCCCAACACGCTGGACTCTACGAATTAAATACTGTCGGCGGAAATGACGTCTTATCCAAGCAGTTCAGAGTTATTATTTTAGGTGAGTATCTAAAAATAAGAATGCAAACAGAACTATTTCATTTTGTAATGACTTTAATTTATGTACTGTTCTTGATTCTTAAATGTCTTACCCTCAAGTTTATATCATGTTCTTTATTCTTTTTTTTCTGTCTTTCTCTCTCATATCTCTTTTCATTGACAATGTAATTCATATTCTGCATTGTAAACAAATATTGTTACAAACTTGTCAACTGTTTTTTTGCAAATAAAAAAAAAATATATATTTTAGGTGAGTGGTTTGCAAATGTACTTAATTTCGAGTTTGTTGATGTGGTAACTTTCCTAAAACACCCATCACGCTAGATTACCTTGGAGATGCTGTCAAGCAGTATCAGGTTTCTTTTGTAAATGGTAAAATGAGACCACAGCTAGCTAGGCACGTGACCTGAATAGACTGACTTTACATTTCATACATGATAGTTAGCATTTATTATTATTTAGATTGATTAAAGTTGATCATCTTTGTATGTATATTCTGGTGTTTTCAGCTCATCTGCCTGCTCCTGTCCTCATGAGAAACTCTTCTCAATGTTCTTCATCCTCATCTTCATCAGTGCAGTATTGTTCAGTGCTGTGTTCAGTGGTGAATGTGAGCGCTGTGAGTCTCTCCTGGTACAAAGGAAACAGTGTATTGTCCAGCATCAGTGTGTCTGATCTCAGCATCAGTCTCACTCTACCTCTGGAGGTGGAATATCAGGATAGAAACACCTACAGCTGTGTGATCGACAACACCATCAGCAACCAGACCACACATCTGGATATCAGCACACTCTGTCAGCCATGTGAAGGTGTGACGATGCTATTCTGTTTTGATCTCTACTTTAAAGTAAAGGTTTATTGCATTAACTCTCTTTGTTTTATAGTGGGTGTGTCAAGTTTGAATTCAGGAAACAGCGTACCCTTCGGTGATGTGGTTCTGATCTGCATAGGCATCGCAGTTACATTTGTAATCTTGGCAGCAGCTGGGATGTTCAGTATTTACTGGAGATATAAAAAAACACATCAAACTTGTAAGTATCTGACAAAGTAAAGAGAGCAAGATTAGTTTAATTATGATATATATACACACACACACACACACATATATATATATATGTATGTATGTATGTATATATATATATATATATATATATATATATATATATATATATATATATATATATATGTATGTATGTATGTATATATATGTATGTATATATATATATGTATATATGTATATATATATATATATATATATATATATGTATGTATGTATATATATATATATATATGTATATATATATATATATATAT